GATGTCGCGAATGTGCGCTGCGGACTTCATACTCGTTGGGAAATGCGATTCCATGGTCTGTGCCCGGAGCGTTCCCCCATTGTAATTCTGGCTCGAAGGTGTTCCTGTGTCATCGCTCGGAGCGTAGTTACATTGTGTTTTGCAAGCTTTGGTTGCTAATCGCCTTATAGTTCTGGCTCGAAGGTGTTCCTGTGTCATCGTTTGGTGCGCAGTTACGTGGTGTTTTGCAAGCTTTGGTTGCTAATCGCCTTATAATTGCTACTGCAATGGTTTCCAACGTACTTTTTTCCAAGTTTTGCCGCTTTCATTTTTCTTATAAATCTCTTTTAAAAAACGCTTCGAAATCGCAATTTTTGGAGCTTGGACGTCGAGATCCGGTTTTGGGAGGCTATTCTCTGTGCTTGCGGTGCGCAGTTACATGGTGTTTTGCAATCTTTGGTTGCTAATCGCCTTATAGTTCTGGCTCGAAGGTGTTCCTGTGTCATCGTTCGGTGCGTAGTTACATGGTGTTTTACACGCTTTGGTTGCTATTCGCCTTATAGTTCTGGCTCGAAGGTGTTCCTGTGTCATCGTTCAGTGCGTAGTTACGTGGTGTTTTGCAATCTTTTGTTGCTAATCGCCTTATAATTGCTACTGCAATGGTTTGCAAGCGTTGGGAATTTGAAACGTCGTGACCAAAGTGTCGACAAAAAGCTGTGAATTCGTGGCCAAACTGGCTAGAAGGACCTGGGTCCACGACCGGAAGTTGTTCGAAGTCGGCCCTTGTTCCGACTGAATGTGCAGAGACCCCATGAGGAACGGGATCCACGACCGAGAGTTGTTCGAAGTCGATCCTGTTCCGACTGGGTGCGCGAATATACCTGATAACCGATAAAATTGTGCAAACAGAGCTCTATAGACATCTTTTTTTTGTTCGATTGTTGGACTTGAATGATATTCTTTGCTTGTTGTGATTTGACCTGAAAGACCAGTTTCGTTTCCAGAGACATTGAGTCTTTTGAACAGGTTGAGCGGCAACAAGTGGGACCAAATGAAAGTGGACACCACGCAATGGAATTCCAGGAGGCAGGCATGTCGATGCCACATATAGTCACCAGCCACGAAGTTACAAGTATCGGCGAAAAGCTGTGAATTGGCTATTGCAAAGTGTCGTGACCAAACTGATTAGAAGGACCTGGGTCCACGACCGGAAGTTGTCCGAAGTCGACCCTTGTTCCAGCTGAACGTGCAGAGACTCCACAAGGCACGAGATCCACGACCGAGAGTTGTTCGAAGTCGATCCTGTTCCGACTGGGTGTGCAACTATATCTGATAACCGACAAAACAACATGAGTTGAACTGTGGGTAATTTGTTTTGTTTTTCAAGTGTTGCATTTGTATGAGCATTGGTTGTCCTGATGCCAGGTTGGGACGTGCGATTTCGCACACTTCGGCGGCTCTTACTACCGGGACTAGCGTTTGAGCTCGACCGGCGCTGGATAAAAAAGAATCGACCGGGACTACCGTTTGGGCTCCGAAGTACAGTGCAACAGAATATACATTAATAGATTTGGTAATAACGTGATAATAGTATCATAATCATAATGTATATGTATATATATTAATATTGTGTCATCTCATCATCATCTCATTTTGTTTCATCTTAATGTTTTGAATCATCATATATCATCTCTTCATTTCTTTAGTGCTCATTCATCTTCTGTTACTTCGCTTTTCTTCCCTTCTATTTGTTCTCTTCCGCCTACTTGCTTTCGGGCCACCCTGTCGTCTAGTTTTTTTTTTTTTGTCCGGCTCTTTTGCTGCAGCTCTCGAGTTGGGCTCATGCCAACATTGACCTGATGTCAAGGGATGTAGTCGTAGGGCATCGTCGTCGCAACTTCTCGGTGAGGAGGACGGCATCTTGCTGAACCCTAGTGCGTGCATGGCACTTCTGGCATTCCACCGTGTTCCCAGTGCGGTGCATCTGATGCGTGGAGTGGCCATGCCAGCGATCACTCGCCAAAGGGCCATGATGGCAAACTTCCCCCAGGAACCTGTTGAAAATGTCCTCACCTGCCCTAGCCAGCACGTAGGAGCGGCAAAGGTTGCAGCGTAAGTACGCTTTCTCCAACCGCAGGTGGTGTATGCCCGGTTTGGCCTCCCCTTGGGACTCAAGGAGATCGTGAATGATCTCAAAACGGGTCTTCTTCTGGGTCTGACAGGGAGCCGCCTGGGTACATGGTGCTGTGAGGCCTTCCCGAAGCTCCTTGATCAACGATTTGGTGTGAAATCGCTCTCGACATAGGCTGCATCGGACTCCTGATCTGTAGACCTCCCATTGGTGGCCATGTGCCTGGGGGTCTTTGAGAAAGCAGGCCAAAAGATCCTTCTTCTGCTGGACCATGGGGATCTTGGAGTTGTCCGCCATGGCTGACTTGTTGTGTAGAAAGTGTTCTTTGCAAGTGAGGAGGATGTTCATCCTGTTGCCTGCGACACTTTGGACATCTCGTGTGTCTTCGTCAATGTGCTTCTGTAAGTCAATGATCTCTTCCGGCCTGGCAAGAAGTGCAGCTTGCGTGGCCTTCGCCTGTGTGTCCTGCTGAAAGGCCTTCCTGTTGAGGTTGGAGTCCATCTCACGACGGCTGAAGAGGAGTAGGCGGACTTGATCAAAGTCTTCGTGCTCCAAGCCCGCGCTGAGGTCTGGGAAATGATCATGTGCCGGCATGAAGGACCAGTTCTTCCAAATGGAGTGCTGAAAAACGGCCACGTGGACTTTGTCCCTGATGTGAAGGGAAAGGTGCTTCAATCCATAGAACAGAGCCCTGAGCCTGGTGGCCTTGCCCGGACAGATGCCTGTCAAAGATGCCACTCGTTCTTTGGTGAAGACCTGATGAATGCAAATGGCAAAAACATACCGGCGATGACGAGGGTCACGGGAGGTGGGAGCTACTGCCAGGGAGACCGCATGGCCAGCTGGCAAGTTGCAGGCTTCCAGATCGGCCCAGAGTCCTTCACCAAAGAAAGTAGCCATACCTCCGTCCTGGATGTAGAAGATGGACTGGGTCATCCCACGGTTCCAGAGTTCGGGCTCAGTGTTGGCCTGTATGCGGTCTCGCCATTGATCTGGCAGCGGCTGAACTCGTCCTTCCCAGAAGCTGCATTCCCAAAGGAGGTGAATGAAGGTCAGCTCTACTCCGCAAAGAGGACACTTGCCAGTTTGCCCGTGCAGAGTGCCCTGGTGTAGGGCCCGGATGCCGACGGCAATCTTCTCACTCGTCATCTTCTGGAGCGTTTTGCTGACTGACCAGTCCAATTTCCTTTCCAAGTCGTGGCAGCCCTCATACCTGGTCAGGCGCAGCAAGCGTTGCCAGTGGAATTCCTCAGTCAACTTGTGAAGAATTTCAGGCCACAGGGCTTCCAGGCTGATGGTGCAATCAGGGATGCCCCCGTAGCCGGTTCGCTTCCAGAGCTTGCCGTTGGAGATGTCGAAGTCGTAGTCCAACAGATAGGCTTGCAGGGCTTGAAGGGGCCCTGTGACAACTTGCCAGCGATGCTTAGCCTTGAGGAGGAGATCAAGTGCTGAGTTCCAGCTAATCCAGAAGAGGTTCTTGGCGCTGTCGTCAAAGGAATGCAGGACCTTCCAGACAGTGTGGATGTGTTGCAAGATGATGGAGTCGCCTGGGTCGCTCTTGTCGGAGTGGATGTCAAAGACAACATCGACTGAGCCAGATCGTTGGAGGCCGAGACCTCTGGCAGCCAGGACCCGTAGTTGTTGGCGACGTTGTGGAGCCAGCCAATTTGCCTGAGCGCCCCAGGACATCACGGGGTGGATAGCTCCTCGGTGGAGCCTGTACTTGGTTGTCATGCCCAGCTTGAGACGGAGCATGATCCCAACTCTCCCTCGACCCTTGAGGAAGCGCTTCTTGATCTGGGTGATGCGTCGTCGCCTGGAGTTGGTGGCATCGATGCCCAGGTCACGGAGGATGTTGTGATGCTTGGGGTCATCTTGTCTGAGGAGGGCATCCAAAGCCTTGGCTGATTCCTTGCTGCTGGTGATGAAGCCGGTCTTTTCAGTATTGAGTTTGAGACCCTCCGCAGCCAGCTTAGCTTGCAGAGTGCGAAAGGCCAAGACCGCCTCCCTTGCAGCGTAGTCCGGATCCGTGCCTTTGATGTCGAAGGAGACATCGTCCACCCATGTCTGTAGAAGGACGGCCGGGTGTTCAAGAACAAGGGCACGAAGTGGCCGGTAAAGCACCAGTTTGGCTATTGCAGGGGCCTGTGGACAGCCTTGGAGGATGCCCTTCTCATAGTACTTGGGATCACCAGCAATGCCCTCTGCTTGGATCAGCCTGGGGCCCGTGTAGAGGTCCAGAGCAAGCTTGAGGTGAAGCGGGGGGTAATCCAGCTCCATGGCGGGCTCGATGAGATGATCCAACTGCACCGTGTCGTAGAAGCAGGTGAGGTCAGCAAGGCAGGTGACGGTGTGAATGCCCTGATGCTTGCCAATCTCAGCTTTGAGCATTCGACCAACTGCAATGGAGAGGCAGTCTTTGTGTGGTCGTGCATGATCCCATGGCATGTCCTTGTCCAGGCCGAGCTGCCATTTGTGAAGATCGTGCTTGCGATAGCTGTTCCAAAGCCGGTAGATGCAAGAGGTGAGAGCGATAGGTCGCTCAATGCGCTCGCTCTTGGGGATCATGACGATGTTGGTGTGCCTCAGCTGTAGAGGTAGTTCTACACATGCATAAATATATATATATATATATATATGTGTGTGTGGTATGGGAATGTACAGGCTGGCAGTGAACTTCTGTTTTTCCGCCATCTTTTACATCAATTGTTCAGCTCCACCTGCACCGATGCACCGTAATCATCCACGTGATCTCAGAATTCTGCAGGTGGAAGGCAACATCTGCCATCATCTGCGAACACCAAACCCTGCTCCACTTGAGTGAATCATGGGAACCACTCCTTTCAAACCACCCCCTTTTCAAAACACCTCGAAACTCCTCCACTGTGACCCAAGTAAACAATTTGCTTTAGCCAAATTGGCCCTGGCCTCGCTTTCAAGCCGAACAAACCGAACAAACAACACCACCACGCGCCACGGCTTCACCCTGAACGCACCGCCTCCCCGCTCGGTTGGAACGCCCAACAGTTGAAGGTCCCTAGCTAGTTCGACTATCACATAGGATACCCCCAGGTGACGGCTCCTTTCAAGCTCATATACCCAAACAAAGCCACCTCTCTGAAATCGGGCCGTGCGGCAGCCAAGCCCATGCTCTTGGCGGTGGTGGGGATCGGCGCAAAGCGGACCATACCTGAGTGGTACCGGTGCCGATCACCTGATGCGACCGAGACCGACTCAGTGACTGGAGCGACCTGACCTGCAGCCTCGACCTCGACCTCGTGGTGCCAAGCGGAGCAAACAACATGCAAATGAAAGGGGAACACTTCTTTTCCCAAAGCAGGGCTACACGCGGCGACGCGATGCTTCGGAGCTCCTTCGTTTCCCCATGGGTCATATGATGTCATATGGTCAATCATGGTCATATTTCATGGTCACAGGGTGCACGCCTATTTCCGCGACATACTTACTAACTATAATACTGACCAGTGGGTTTCGATGCGTTGACCTGACCAGCCCTCTTTATCTCATCCTGTTGCGAACTTGGCCAATAAAGACTGTGGGAACACAGCTGGCACGGTAATTAGTTGGCAATCGAAGCATTCCAGGTGTCCCAGTAATGTGGTCCTTTGATTAATAAAGCCCCCTAGAATAATGTATTTTTTTCCTGCACTGATTAATAAAGGCCCCCGGAATAATGTCTTTTTTTTTGCAGGGATAGTTGTAGGTGAATATGTTTTATTGTTATAGTTTACTTTTTCCCTTTTGATTTGCTTTACTCACCCTCTATTCCTTATTAACTTTTCCTAAGCTCTTTAGTTTTGAAGCTTTCCAAAAGTTTCCAAAAGTCAGTGCGCACTTTCTTTATAAAATCCCTTATTCAAAAGTATTGAAAAACAAAAAAATCATTCAAGCAAAGGGGGTAGTCCAGCAAGCAGCTTTCCGACATTATTTAGGGGGGGCCCCTAGAATAATGTCTAGAGATTTGAGGCTTTAAATCTTTATTCCTTTTCTTTGCCTTTTGATTTGCTTTACTTACCATTGAAATTGCAGGTCTTTGGATTCAGATTTCCATTGAATTTTAAAAAGTTAGTTCTATTTCCACTGATTCATTCCCTTTTATTGTAATTAATATTCCAGATGTCTTCAAAGTTAGGTTTCTTGATTCCTTTTATTTTAATATTGCCAGAGTAGCTCCAGAGGTAGCTAGCTAAGGATTCCTTATTTAATTATCAATTGATTGATTTTCTTATACATTATTTTGGAGGCCTTGGTTGTTGAGGGGGGGGGGGGCGGGGGGGGGGTTGATTAATCAAGGGACTACATTATGTCTCAGTCCACGTCCATCCTCCAGGTGTGGTCCCAAACTGATGGCCCAAAGCCCACCGCAGTCCAACCGTTCGTACTCTCTGCTGCCGTGTTGCAGGTCACGGTGAAGGGTTCGGTCTTCACCGCCTGCATGACCGCCTGCATGAGGCGGTGTGCCGTGCTGGCGGCAAAGCCCAAACGATGCGAAGCAACAAACGTGCCGCGGCACGGATGTACCAGATTTGCCGATCAGGCCAGGGGTGGTGCCAGGGGGTCTGGCTGGGGCGGCAGTCCTATGACAGACATATGGAGTGTCTGGGATAGGAAGTCTTTGGATCAACTTGCGGTGTCATCTTTGTGTGTCCCGAAGCCCAGCAATCGTACAATTGTTGGAATTACACCGAGAATTGTCAAATTACCCAGGTTTGTTGGTGGTTTGGCTTTCGCACTCTATCCCCCCCCAAAACAAAAACTATATATAAGTAGTTTTCGTTTTAATTGAGGGTCATTTCGTTTTATTTGAAGTCTGGACTGGGCAAGGGTGGACACATGAACTCACATGACCGCAGCTGTTTCACTCCAATGGCTCTCCGAAGAGAGTTTTTAAGATCCTTGCAAAATGATAATGGCGCTGCATCTTCAGAGCAGTTAGCGCCAGTTGCTGTGGATGACGCAGCTGCAGCTGATCGGAGGGCCTATTTCCTGTCGGTGCGAGAGCCCACAGCTGCATCCCCAGCAGCTCCAGTAGCTGCCACAGTGAACTTTGGTTTTGCTGCGTTGCGAGAGTTTCAAGCAGCTACAAGGGATTCAGGCACATACAAGAAGCAGAGTCCCATTCCCATCAAGAGACCAAATTACAACTCCAAGAAGCGGAAATTCTATGCGAACCCGCCTGATCGAAACAAGTACCTAGGTTTAGCAGAAAAAACATGTTCCTTCATGTTCCTTCAACTTTCAATTTGTTCAGACTCTGAGTCCAATCGATTGTGAGGGCCCATCCTGGTTTCCTCTCAGAACCTTAGGCAGTGTGACAATGGCGCTTCTTGGGAGAGAGTGGAAGGCTTGTTCAGCAGAAATTGCTGCCAGTGTCATCGTGAGGAGTGTTTTCGACAGATGAAAACCCAGCAGCAGGAGTTCCAAGGGTTCCTGAGTTCCTTTTGGGCGATGGAGAAACCAGCGCAAGATGCTTATGTCATGACCTGAGCAACATTGAGTTGGAACAATCAAACAATTTGCTCACAGAGTTTGTTTTGATGAAATGTTTGGCGTAGCGCCCTTCTGTTTGCTAAGATCTATTCGGTGGTTCGCAAAGCAGTTGCTCCAAATCGGTCCTGGAGCCTTCTTGGTGTGACCATGTCGGTCAAATGCATCTCGTGTTTGCTGGGGATTCGATCTGACAGAATTAAGCGTGCGGGCTCGGGAACTGTGGATCGTCGCTATGGATGCTATGGGGCTGAATCTTGCGAACACATGTTCTGGAATATGCAGTATGGACATCAACCTGTTTAAGATGTATTGTGTTCATGCTGTAACTTTTCACCAGCAAAGGAGATGAAGCGACATCCGCTGAAATACATGGCCATTGACAAGTTCCTTCTGCAAGTATACATCCAACAAGCAGGGATGTTGCCAACAAAGTTCCTTACCTGGATTCAAACAACTTCCTTTTGGGCTGAACGGTGTCCTTGCATTTCTCAACATCTTTGCAAGAGTTCCCATTACCAAGGTTTGGCAGAGCTGCTCGTGTTTCAGCTTCGAAGAAGGCCAACAAGAACATCGAGTCAAAAGACCTGGAGGTGTCTTTTGGCAAATCCATTCATGCCGATGACTATGGAAGCTAGCCTGCAGTAGCACATGCTGAATCAAAGATGCACAAGCATGTGTCGTGTGCAAGCCTCAAGATTCTGTGCATGAGGAGACTCTGATTTGGAGACGGCTGATGTTGTGGATGAGGGCGACTTCGTCCCTCATGAATCTTTGGAGGATGATGAAGAGCTTAAATTGCACGTTCTTGGAGGCAAGGAGCTGTGGACGCAGAGCCCTAGCTCCAGCTCTTGCTTGTCCATAATTTATGTGGTGCACCAGTGATGCCAAATTTCATGCATGGCCTTAAGGATTGTGGATACCAATTGGTCCATGGAGCCGGGAAAACTCCCTGTCCGCTTCATGCCTCCAGGAAACCTCAGAATGCTGTTTGCAGACTTTCCAGGAAATGCATCTACATCGCTCCTTTGTCTTAGTAGCTGGAAGGTCAACCAGTTCAAATCTTGTGAAAACAGTTAGTAGGTTGATATCACTGTAGCCACCAAATGCCAAGGTTTTCCCACTTCCACAGACGCTACAAAGCGAAGTGGGAAAACTTACTGCGGTTTAGCCAGCCGACAAACTTTCCGGCATGTGATGACTGCGTGGCTTTCAAGGATGCTTTTGAGGATGCCACCGCTTCTAGGTAAACATGCTTCTAAGATCTTTTAAGTTGAGTCGATGAATCAGTTTTTGACAAGTCTGTGCAAGAGTCACAGATGTATGGTGCTCACCGCTCACCTCTGGGGCTGAGGACCCATTGGACCGTTTCGAAATATCACGGCAATACCAGGCCCACATGAAGGCGATTGCTGCTGACAGAAAGCTAGAAGCTTTCTTCCAGGAGCTCAAGTGGAATTCTTAAGGGTTCATGTGACATCATGTCACAATTGGAAACATGACAGGACAGCAACCCGCTCTTGGATGACACAGCAACTCTATTCATCACCACAGACCCTCAGCTGCCAGCAAAACCAGATTGCTCAGAGAGGAAAACAGATTTGCTTTCTGCTGTCTTGGCCACTGGACTCTGTGCCTTACTCCCTCATGTCATGGCTTGAGGATGGCATGGACCAAAGTAAATGGTGCCTGCCAAGATGTCGCAACAACATTGTCACAAAGAGCCTTGCCAAACATGAGCGGGTGAGGACAAAAATTCAGGGTGTGTGGCTGCATCAGGTCGCACTTTTCCTGTATTGTTTGGATGCTCGATTGTCAGCTGACAGTAGCATGGTGATCGAGTGTGTTTCACGCTCGATGGATCGTATGGCGGATATTTGCAGAGCTCATGGCCGGGATTCCCCAAGAAAGCTTGTGCTTTGGGCACCTAGTCTTGAAATCTTCAGTAGTCACTGAGCAGCTTTCAAACCATGATGTACTAACAGGTACTAACTGTTTTTTCTCAAATATCTGAGGCAGACAACTGCCCAAGGGAGAACAAAAACAACTCGACCCTGAAGTTCCTGTGCTGGATACTCCTTCAGAAAGGATTCGAAATCACAGGGATATTGTTTGGCAGAGTGGGACACACCCACGGATCGCTAGGTTCTTTGGCTGCCATGAATGACATGTGTTTGTTGTTTGCAGTTACTTTCACAGGAACAACAGAGCTAAACCAGTCAGCACACTGAGATCAAATCTATGGGGTCTTATCCCGATCGATGAGATATATCGACATCCTTGCGGATGAGGAGGACCTGGTTCAGAGTCCAGAATGCATGAAGTTCAAAGCGATTTCTGCTTCCAAATCATTTGCAAGAGTTGCAAAAGAATCAGGAAGGTGAAGTATGTGACTTCGAAGCTGAACCTGCGAAAGTGGTTGAACACTGCAGAAATTGTGGTAGAACATGTGGGCTCTGTGAGAGATTGGAAATCATGGCTTTTTGTTTGCATTTTGAGATTGTCATTTGAAGATTTGATCAGCCCTGACATTTGCTCAGTAGTCATCCACAAAGGCTGGAGCAGGCACCGGTGACTTTGAAAGGGGGCATGCGTGATGATTGTTCGGGCGCCCATGCCTTCTTATTTATGCGACGCAAAGGCCTGTGAACAAACTTCTTAAAGAGTTATTGTTCAGATGAAATACTGAAACCAAACCTGAACTTGAGAACTTGACAGATGTACCAGCCAATATGGACATCATCAGTGATGGGCCTGGTCGTCACAGATGGCCCCTTTCTCCCAATGATGTGTGCTGTGCCGTGAAGAGATACGCCTCAGACAGCAACCTTTCCCAGGCAGGACGAAAGTTCTTTGTGCATCATGGTGCGCTAGAAGGTTGTTTAAGTCTGGTGATACTACTACATGATGACTAAGGTCCCTTTGCTCATATTTCCGGAATGTTTCATGAGATTGATGGGCGATATCCCACAGATTGCAAGGCCTCTCAAAGTGTTTGACTCTGACAGGGTCAAAAAGCTTTTGTCCCTAGCGCAATTGCTGCTGGAGACACAGCCCAGTGAAGGTACTGCACGCTCAGTGCAATTCTTGATGAGGATCTCTGAACAGAATCCTCATGTTGAGCCTGTGCCACCCTTGCGTTGGCTTTGTTTGCACACCCCCACAGAGTTTGATGCTTTGGTTACGTTGGACCCTCAACACCTGGCTCCAATCACTCGGTTGATACCGCAAATGCGGTTTTCAGCACACCTTCGTCGACGGTGAAAAGAGCTTTTGTACCACACAGTCTCTTCTCCCATTCCCATCAACACCTCGCCACGCTTCTAGTTAAAGATGTGTGTGCGCAAAAAACAAGACATGACTTAGCTGTTGGACACACAGGGGTTTTGTGGCTCAATTTCGAACATTGAAAAAAACATGTGCCGTAGAGTAGACACATGGGAGCAAAGTCCGGGCACATTGTGCTATGTTGAGTCCTCTGTCTCAGTGGCCACTACTGCTGCGGCCTCACCGAGGCAGGGTGAGATGTGCAAGTGGTAACAAGTGATCTTATCCAGCGGTCGAACTTTCATTTTATTCTAAGGACAAGGTTTCAAACATTCAACTGTTCAGGAACACTTTGCTGGATGAGGACGATGGACCACGGAGAAAGAAAGCGAAGAAAGCCAAGGACCGCTTCTAGGACATGACCACTTGTCACTGGTCGTGTGACCAAAATGCCGCAGGCTCCCATCACTGAAGATCCTGGAAAGCAGAAGGGCGAAGCCGACTTCGAGGCATTTTCTTGTTTGTTTTCTTCACGACACTTGGTGTGTTTTGTAGGCATATCATACCACCAATGACCTCTTATCTGTTGGCTGATTCCCTGATCTCCACTGTCACAGGATTGGGAAATTCGTGATTTGAGGAGGACATCAGCCGTTCCACTCAATCAGAAGCACATTGAGGAGGGATGT